TATTTCATCAGCATCAGGATTTTTACAAAGAAGACAGAGGTGAGAGGAGAATTGGGAATATCAATGCATCGTATAACCTATGATATAAAGATGTCACTCATTATCTTTCAAGTTCTGACTAGAATAAGAATTTCTGCGATTCCAAGAACTCAACATAACGAAGATGTTGCTCTCGATTCTCAAAGATTAGGACATTTCTCTGCCAGTCCAGTCCCCTTTCTTCCCTTGTGGTTTAAATATTGTCTAACAATTCTCTCCAAACTGAAGCCTTCCTTTCTATGAGGGAGCTGGGAGGAGGGGCTCTTTAAGACTCAGAAAATCAACAAAATATACTAGTCTTTGGAAGATCCTAAAACTTTCAAGACTCATAAAGTCCCTCCCCCAAGCCAAATAAGCATCAATGATTGCAGGAGAGGGCAACTTATCATCAACTAAGCTTCACATCACTGCAGGAAAGGGGTGACACTATGATCAAATGAACTACACACAGAACTCCATGCAGAGACAGCTTTGGTGAGGAGTCACCATGCTTCAGGGGGCTTTCTGGTGATACAGTAGCATTGAAGTCACACAAGGTCCTGTAAGGGGTGCCTACAAACTCACACTTCACTAAGCTAGACTTGGGTGGAATTTCTTTGGTCTGTTGTCAGTGCCCTATCTGGGGTAAAGAAATGTTTGTACCCATCTCCCCTGAAAAAGTCACACAGCAAAGTGAAATGCTCCCATTTAGGATCACGTATGCAAACACTTGGTCCCAGCTTAGTGATATTTAAAAATGTTGTGGAACCTTTAGGAGGTTGAGCTTCACTGAAAGAAGTAAGTCAGTGTCAGGGAGGATGTTGAGGTTCTATAGCTCGATCCCACTTCCTGTTCCTACTCTGCTTCCTGACTGCTAATGTCATATGACCAGGCAGCTCATGGTTCTGCTGCCATGCCTCCCAAGATGAAACACTATCTGCTTCTTAATATACAAGCCTAAAGAAGCTCTTCCTCACCTAAGTGCCTTCTCTTCAGGTGTTGAGTTACAGCAACGAGAAAAGCGGCAAACACGGCCCCTCCGGCTTCACAAGTCTCCATTCAGAAATAAAGCTGTGAGTTCCCGACTGCCTCGCCGTATGTGTCCCCAAAGCTCTATGGCTGCTCAAACATTGATGGACATAAACTTCATGCAAAATAAAATTGTCAGATAGAATAAAACTTTATGACTCAGTGAATATCAATCATCATTTACCCTAGAAAAGTTGTTTTCAGTAATGCGGTAATATCCGAAATTAAAGCTTCAGGCCCTCCCTCCAACTGAAAAGCCATTAGCCCACTGTCCCAGCTAGTTTTTAGGTCAGTTTTACAAGAGCTAGAGTTGTCTAAGAGGAGGGACCCTCAATTGAGAAAATGCCTCCATAAATCTGGCTACAAGACAGTTTCTTAATTAGTGATTGATGTGGGAGGGTCTGGCCTGTTGCAAGTGATGCTGTCCCTGGGCTCGTGGTCCTACGGTCCATAGAAAAGCAGTTTCAGAAAGCCATGAGGAGCAAGCCAGTAAATCACATGTGTGTGCACGCACACACACACCATGGCCTCTGCAGAAGTTCCAGCCTCTAGGTTCCCACAGTGTTTGAGCGAGTTCCTGTCCCGTCTTCCCTCAGTGGACTGTGACTTGGGATGTGCAGGTCAAATAAACTCTTTCCTCTCCCAAGTTGCTTTTGGTTGTGGTGTTTCATTGCAGCAATGGAAACCCTGAGACATCCGGCCCATTATTTTAACAATAGGAATGATTATCTTTGAAATAACTTTCTAAAATTCTTAAACTATATTTAAGGTAAATTTTGCTTCAGTTTTCATTATCTTTTTCCATCGAATTAACAACTTATTATATATTATATAATTTTAGACAAAGTGTTCTGATGAATACTTTAAATGTCAAAAATTTTAAATATTTACATGTTTTACTACTCCAACTGCCCAAAAGCAAATTGTAAAACAATGTTCATCTTAATTTTTCAAATTAATCTCTGGAAGTCTTGTGACTTAAGCAGTTTTTACAGAAATTTGCAATTTCAAATGACAAATTTTGTCATGTAATGAAGAAAATTATTATCTCCCACACAGCAGTGTACAATAACTTGTTTACAAGGGATCTCACTATATCTTCAATGTGCACGGAAATAAAGACAGTGGCGAACACCATGCAGGAATTTTCTCCAGCACCATGACAGTGATGGTGGGCCATCCACTGCTTATTGTCAACTTTCTAACACTGACCACGTGGATATATAAAAAATAACTGCACTAAGAACTGCAGGGCATTTGATGACAAGGTGAGTCCAGCATTAAGCCAGCATCATTTAGTACCAACTTGGACCAGTATCACACTTAAGATAACCGATAAGCCTCATCAGCTTGGGATGTTTCTTTAAGTCTTTAGCATTTTGGGTTTCAAAGTCTGTACTTAGTAAGAGGTAAGATACAAAACCTGGGGTTCAAAGTCTGTACGTGGTAGGAGGTAAGATACAAAGCCTCTACACCACTCGGCCTAGTAAAGTTATAGATACCTTCTAAGGCAAGGTTTGATTTTAGATTCTGAACAGCCATTGATAAGGAAACGCTGAAGAAGATGAGGCAGGAGGATCATGAGTTTGAGGCAAACCTGAACCTATTTTTGGAAATGGGATCTGACTAGATTTCCACCAACATGCAGATAATGAAATATATACACAGAATTTTAGTCAGATATAAAGAAAAAAATTAAGTTAAAAAATTTTCAGAAAATGTGTGGAACTAGAACATAATTTATTTAGCAAGGTAACCTGGGGTCATATGCAGATCCTAGTTTCTGATCTTTAGATGAATGCATTCATGGGACTGAGTGGGCACAGGCAATGACAGCCGAAAGGAGCTACGACGGGGGAGGTGGTTTAGGGAAGGGAAGTGGAGTGTGTCACAGAACACATGTGACAGGAAAATACAAAGGTAGTAAATCTGGGGCAGAAGGGTACATGCAGAGAACTGGACAGCGAGAAGCGGGAGGGGCAAGGGGAGAGATCACCCAAAGGAAGGATGCATGGAGTTAAAAGGCATATCACTTTGTATTCCAATTAAAATGTGAAGTTTGTAGGAATAACTTTTCTGAAAATCTCTGGACCTCAAAACCCTGAACTTTAGCCTGATCTTATGATCACATTAATGATGTGCCTATTTCAAACTGCATCCTCATTGCCCTCCTCACCTGTCTTTCAGAAGACAATGTGACCCATCTTACCACACCTTGGACTTTCCATGTGATCAACTTCTACAAACTAAGCTCAAGGCATAGCTTCGGTTTTAAATTACAAACTCGTCTACGTCACTGTCGCAGAATGATGTATGCGTGCTGTGGTTTTTACTGGCTGAAAGCAGCCATTAGGTTGAAAGAAACTTCAGAAAAGATAGTGTCCACCATAAACGTTGGGAGCAACATGTGGATCTAGGCTAAGACATGTGTTTGTGGGTTTGAGTGCTCTTCTGGACCAACAGGCCATAAAGTAAGCTCTTCACTCAAGAACTTCGGTTGGTAAATAAACAAATAAATAAGTAAATCTGACAGTGGTGATGGTGATGTAAGAGTTTATTCATCCCTTTCCCATTCTATGTTTTCTGTGCTGTTCATTGGTATAGAACGAGCCCTTTGCCTGGGACAGATAAAAGATGCAGGGAGAAATTGGAGGATTCAAATGTGGGCTCATTCTTGGTTTAAACTCCCAAAGGAAGAACCTTTTTTCCTTAAAGTGGCACCACAACAAAACGCTTTTAAAAATTAGTGCCTTCCATGAGATGGTGAGCTGGAAAATAAAAAAGATCCCATAGAAGGAGAATGGATGGCAATAGAAATGATTACTATGTGAAGAAAGGACAGAGACTCAGAAAGACAAAGCCAGATGCGCGCTTTCAAATGTTGCCCCTGGACTGCAATGCGTGCGTGCGTGCGTGCGTGTGTGTGTGTAATGTGTAACTAGAAAAAGGACTGAGAAAAGAGAAGGGTCTTACGGTCTTTAATAGAAGGCAGAGTGAGGTGTTGGATGGAGGTAGAATCTATGTGACATGAGGTAGAAGGGAGGTTGCTGGAGACGGGACGGAGACCAGCAAGAGCAAAAACAGAGAGAAAGAATAATAAAACAAAGTATCATGAAGATGTCATGACGAAACCCATTACTTTGCACTTTAATTGCCTTAAAATGAATTCAAGCACACACACACACACACACACACAGAGAGAGAGAGAGAGAGAGAGAGAGAGAGAGACATGTGCATACCAATGTGTGCATATAATAATTAAGGAATAATTTCCAGTTCCATATAGACAGGCAAAAGGAGAGACACACCTACTTCTCTTGAGTATAGATGGGTTTGGGGGACAGAGTTCTCAATATTGTATGATGTAAAAGGCCCCGGTCAAGATATTAATGTCAAGTCATCCAAGAGCATTGCAGCCTACAGTCTTCAATGAAGCAAAATCAAACCCTCTCTGAAGTCAGGCACTTCAGTAAGAAGCCCAGTGCATTTTACATACAGAGATCTGCAGGTTGACAGCAGCTGTACCAGTCAGGTATAGCAACAACAGAAGGCAGAAAGCTGGATGAAGATGAAGGGCACTGTGTTTGGCAGATCTTTCATATAACAGCTAGGTTTATTGATGTTTGACCAAAGAGAAAAAATCTTTAAGAGATTATTTTAAAGTCAAGCCCCAGTAGATTCTGAGAAGAAGCTAACAGAATTGCAGGAATTGAACACTGTAACTATTTAATGCAAATTAAAATGAAGAAGTTAAATGGCAGGGTGTCTGAGGTTGAAAGGAGAATGTCTTGAGCAGAAAGTAAAAATGAAGAAGGTGCTTAGGAATCTTAAAGAAACCCACACCAATGCTGTCAGTCTTCTGACCAGCTGAGTAGCCTTCTGCTCAAACCTCTATTCAAAACATCTTTAAGAAAAGGCCAATTTGCTCTCTATCTTCTCTACCCTGGGAGCAGCTCTCTTGCCTTGGCCCCTCACGCCTGAAAACGTATGCCTGTTCCAGGTTCATCTCCACCCACTCCTTGGTCAGGAGCACCTCTCAGTTGCTGAGCCGTCCTCTGTCTGCAGTGGAGCTGAACCCACAGACACGGAGAGATGAGGCCCTCAGCAGCTTGGCAGTCCCATGTGCTTTGACCTCACTTGTCCCAAGCTGCAGCTTCCAAACCAGTGTCATTTCCAGGGACATTGACACAGCTGCCAAGTTCATTGGGGCTGGGGCTGCTACTGTTGGGGTGGCTGGCTCTGGAGCTGGGATTGGAACTGTTTTGGGGAGCCTCATCATTGGTTATGCCAAGAACCCTTCTCTGAAGCAACCGCTCTTCTCCTACGCCATTCTGGGCTTTGCCCTCTCAGAGGCCATGGGGCTCTTTTGCCTAATGGTGGCCTTTCTCATCCTCTTAGCCATTGTGATGCAGTTGTCTCCACTTCACCTCCCGTAGTTCTTTTGTGTCCCGTCTGTCCTGTATGTTCCTTTTCCTGTACCTCCCCAGGAAGTCTGGGGAAAGTGACTGGCTCAGGGTTTGACAGAGAGAAGACAAATAAATACTGTATTAGTAAGAAAAGAAAAGACCAACTTGACTTTAAAAAGAAGCCTAATTGTGGTCAAAAACCATTGTATACTTGATATGTATGTATATGTGTGGTGTGTATATATGTAAACATATGTATATGTGCATGTGTATATATGTGTGTGTATGTATATAAAGTGCATGTATGAGTGAAATTTGCCTTATGAATGATCTATTCAATGACCAAAAATGTAAATACCCATGTAGCTGAATTTTTTGTAGTGTAACAAAGGTATATGTGGATTCAGAGAACTGTGTGATTTCAGTTACATAATAAAACACAAGTGAACAGCACCGATAGAATGAATATTCAGAAGTCTGATGGTAACTAGGCTTTTTATTTTTCTAGGAGATCAAGTTACTAATTATGCTGTTCGCATGTATTATTTTTCCTATGTATTTATTTTTCCATTTCTTTTTCTACTTCTGCCAATCACTGCTGTCTTCATTTTGACACTGTATCATTTGGTTATGTCATAAAAATTTCCTGGCAAATTGAAGACATTTTGTCACCTATGATTAGGATCATGTCATAAAATCCAACAACTACTCATGACAAATAGAAACAAATTTTATCTAACTATGAATAAAAGAAAAGTCTCTCTGCCAAAAAAATATCAAAAAGAAATGTAGAATTTTTATTTAAATTCAGAAGTAAAACAGCAATGTTTTTTCTTTGGTGCTAAACAACATTTGAGTATTTGAGATTTGTGTCTATGAAATAGCAACCCAATCAGAAACAAGATAGTAAAAATAGAAATGGAGAAACACAATATCAATTTCCCCAGAAGACAGATAATATCATGTACAAAGAAACCTTGGAAGAATGTCCATGTATGTTAAGTGATGATGAAGATACATTATTTAGCTTGCAATAGAAAATAACATTAGGAAAAAGTCAACTGTATTCCATCAAACTAGCAAGAAATTGTTAGAAAGGCCAGTTTTAAAGGACAAAATATTTACACACAAAGTATAAAATAACATAAATGTCAATTATTTGGAACCAACTTGCACAACTATTAAGTCATTAATAAACATTCGTGAATATTGCAAGCCAGTTAAATACAGTCATGTTTTTAAAATAAATTACACAAAGTTTACAATTCTATGCTAAGTTAGGTTCTTGCATCTTACAATCACCCACACACATCTCACAATGACTTATCATTGAGGTTGGCATCCACCATTTCTGATTGGTGGAAATGCGACATATGAATGGATGCCTCTCCCCAGTTCCATATTCACTGATGTCATACTAACACCTGATACAGTGGGAGACTTTATAACATGGATATTAACATGGACTTTATAACATGGACATTAACAAATTCTTCCCTTCCTCCCATTCTCCAGAGAACCAGTTATTATAAAATGAACATTACAGCTGAAATTCACAAAAATGTCAAAGAAAACACAATGCCCTCAGGATGTCAGTAGATGGAGGAGGCACAGGAAGGAAGGAAGAGCTTACAGAGCAGAGCTGGGAAAGGCTTCCTTGAGGAGAGGTCTGATGATGCTGTAAGTCATCAATAGAAAGAACAAAAGGATACAGAATATGTGTCCAACAATCTCCACACTTGAAAGACAGAGAACTTCGGCACAAATTCATCTTTTTATGAACTTCCTATTAAAACCCCCAAAAAGCTGAGTAAAAAATTATTATAAAATTCTAAAATTTACATAGAAGAGAGGGGCCCCAAGGATAGTTTCTAAGAACTGAACTAGGAACTTCTGCTCTGTCATCTCAATTTATTACAAAGCTATAGTGTTTTACTAAAATGGCATTAGCATAGAAATAAAACATCTAGAGGTAGCCCCCTCACGAAAGTAGAAAATTAATGTCAAATCCTGACCAATGGAGTCAGGGGGGGGGTCTCCTATAAATAATGCCTTGCTAAAACTGTAAGAAGAAATTGAGGACAATATCCTCCTGCCTCAGCTTACAGAAAGATTTCTGCAAATGAGATGCATGCATTCAATCCATAGAGGAGAGGAAGTTATAAATTCAAATATGTGAAAATTCTAAAATGTACTTATCAAAAGAAAACGATGTAGAAAACAGCCAGAACTTAGCAGTATGAAACTGGACCTTAGTTTAGTGGAGAGGGTACTTAACTGCATGACTGTGACGTCGAGAGATTGACCCTCTCGTCTGAGGCAGCGGCACTGGGAGTTCAAGGCTTTGCTTTCATTGTTTTAATATGAATTCAAGATGGCTGAAATTCCAAAAAACTCTTCACAACACAAATGGTTTGAAAGCAAATCAAAATCTAAAACATACACAGAATTTTAACATTCTGATAAGAAAAAACGAAAGCAAGAGAAAACGGCCCAGAGGAAGAAGCTGTTTTCTGTTGAGAGCCACATGAAAGATCAATAGATCTATGAAAGGGTACTCAACTTCATGTATCTGGGAAATTAAAATTAAAAGCACAAAAAAAATTGCACATTACAAAGCCTGTGAAAATTAAGTAGTAAGCAAATAAGACGTGCTCGGTGGCTGACAGGAGTATAAATTAATGCAACCAATCTATAGAAGCAGAGGCATGTGGCACCTCCCTAGGATTTTAACCCTAATTAATTATATCTATTATCTGTACATATGTATGTGAAGGAACACGTGCCAAAATGCTGTTAGCCAAAGTCAGAAATGGCAAGAAAATACAAACACCAAGACTTCTCCTAAGAACGAAATGACAAATTTTCTGGAATTTTCCTTCAATATACTAGAGCAGTGAAAAAAAAGAAAGGATCTTTGTCATAAACAGCCACACTAATATGCCTCAGAAAAATAAATTGAGTAAGAAAAGCAAGCCTTGGAATTATCAATTGTAAATTATATGCATACGATTTATATTATGTTCCAGAAACATAAAAAGTAAAAATACAAAAAAGTAAGAGTATAAAAAATTTATGTACTGTATTCTTGTGCACTCCATAATATACATTGCTTTTCAAGTATGATATATACAACTTTCGCCAGATATCTGTGACTTGGTGTGTGTGTGTGTGCGCGCACACACACACTTATATGTGCAATTATGTGCTGGTTTGTTCACCCATACAAAGACCAGAGATTGACACCCATATATTCCTCAATCGGTCCCTATTTTTTGAGACTGGTCTTCTCACTGAACCGAGAGCTCACCAGTAAGGCCAGTGAGTTTTAGGGTCCTCCTGTTTCCGCTTCCCAGTGCGGGGAATACAGAGCGGTGCCACACTGGTTTTTGTTCTTTCTATTTATTTGATTGTTTATTTTAAACCTGGGTGCTTGAGATCCAAACTCAGGCCTTCAGACTTGCTCAGTGAGGACTTTACTCTCTGAGCCATGTTCCTGGCTCCTAACATGATTCTTAATTCCTGTAAAACAAATTATAGATAGCATCGTCTACTGGAACATTTGTGATCTAGACACTTTCTGCTGTGTGATCAGAATCTAAAACCCTGTATAGAACAGCCCAGAGCTAAACCCCAGAAAGCTAGAAAACACTTGTTGGGAATAAAATGGGACATGTCCTCCTACCATGACATAAAACACCTCCACAACTTTCGTCTGGCAAAAGACACGAAGAAAACTCCAGTGCTTTGGTGGCCTTCTGTTTGCTTTCTTTTCTCTTTCACAAGTGAGGCTGGAGATTACTTTACACAAAATTAAGTGACAGAAACAGGGGACACACAGCCACCCTCTCCTGGCTTACCTTCACAGTAATTTGTTAGCCAGTATAGCTGCCTAGTTTATTGCAAGATCTCCAAATTATGACACTGTTAGCAAGGAAAAGCCATCTAGTATCCAAGGCAGACTGAGCATAATGATAGTTTACAGATTCCTGCGCAGTGCAGACTAGGGTAAACAGCAGTGAATGGGGAAATTACAGTAATCCAGACTAAGGCAAACACTAGATTAAAGTAAGAGGCCATGAAAGGGAAGAATCAATCCTCACTGCTAATCCTGGGCCACTGTAGTAGACTCCCAGCCGTCTGTATCTGTAACTAGGTAACATCACACCACGTGAGCACATGACTGTGTTTCACCCACCTTCAAATTCCCAGCATTAGTCACATAGTAAGCCCTTAATTAAGAGTAAATGAATGGAGACACCCTCAGTGAGTGCCTGCACACCCTTTAACCATTTAACTCCTTTGTTTTTATCGGCAAGGGAATGAGATGCAAACTTCTCCAAGTGCCTAAAGGAATGTTCTTTTGTTTGCAACATTATGTATCCATCAGGGAATTCAACAGAAATAGAATCAATCAGAGGAGACAGAGAGATAGATATAGACAGAGTGACAGCGACAGGCAGAAATGTAGTGGGAAGAACTAGTTCACATGAGTCTAGAGACTGAGAAATCCCCCACCTGCCTTCTGCAAAGCAGAGACCCACGACAGCCAGGGATGAGGTTCACGTGTAAAGGCTAAGATTCAAGTAGGCTGATAACACCGCCCCAGTCTGAGCATCTCCAAGAAAAGAAGGGCTAGCCCAGCTCATCAGGAAATAGTAAGATCAAACTCTTCTGCTTTTGACATCTGTTTAACAGACTGAAATATATCAGCTCATAGTAGGGAAGGCCAGTCTGCTTTCTCTGACCCACTAGTTCTTACACCAAACTCATCCAGAAACACCTCCATGGACACCCATAAACGGTATTTTATCCGCGTACCCAGAGGCTCCTCAAGCTGACACAAGAAAGTATCCCCTATACCAATCTTTAAAAGCTACATTGAATAATATTGCTTTGCTAAGGATTATTAATTTTTCAAAACATAGTAATTTACTTCCAATTTTAATTTCAGTTTGGTGTATTTAGTGGGTACCTTGCAAACCCACTTTTACAGCAATACCAAGTCCAAAAACAGTGTAATATAACTA